TGTCATATGCCAATAGAGTTACCTTTCCATATAGAGATCTGCATCCTTCATTTGAGCATTTTACAAGTATATAAACCAGATAAAAAGTAGGAAATCATTTCTTCAAAACAAACCTTATTCTCTTGTGTCTGAATGTATTTGTCTCTGGGTGTGTTGTGTTCCTCTGCTCTGCCTTCCAGAATAGTGAGCTGGGGGAAGAGGAGTGATTTCCTCAAGCTTTTGCTACTGGAAAGACTTAACCCTTAAGTTAAGCACAAATGGTCTTTCTCAGGGTTTTAGGTTTGCTTTGTGGTGTGGGGAAAAGATGGGGGACAACCATAGTGTCCATTTAACATAAGACCACTTCTTTTGTTTCGAACATAAAGCATACTACTTTTTTCTTTTTTTCTTCTTTTTTTTTTTTTTTTTTTTTTTTTTTTTTTTTTTTTTTTAGTAGAAAAGAAATACAGATCTAAGACCTTCCGGCTTATTTTTTGTTTTTTCTTTTCTAAACATGACTAATTTTGGCTAGTTGAAACAAGAACATAATGAGGTGCTAAAAATGTTACGGCAGTGCACTGCTTGTACTAATTAATGTTTCTGTGGGAACAGTTGAAATAGAAATAAGCATGTGTGTTAAGTTTACTTAAACCATAAGCGAAAATGTTTGTATGTTTTTGCTGAACTCCCATGCTACCTTTCTTTATCTGCCCCTTCCCAGCAAGAACTGGCTGTTCTTGGCCAGGCACTCAGGTTGCGTTTGCAGTTTACTGTTTCACAGCCCTGTTCAGGGGACAGAGATTTCCTGGTGCCTGAACAAAGCAATGATTTCACAGGCAGTTTCTTTTAACCACTTCTGAAAGAATCCGGCAGAATCTCCAAATAACTCCAGTTGTAGAAATAGTCATAGGTGAAGTGTAGGTACCAGTCACTTTGATAGTATGCATTTGCACTGAGGAAATGTTGGAAATGTTGGTTTTTGTTGTTTTTTTTTAAAAAAAAGGAAAAAAAAACCCACAGCCATCAGTCTGATCCAATTTACAAAATATTTTTAGACGCAATCAGGGAAGGCAAATGTTAAATGGAGGAATGCAAGTTAGCTGGCAGCAACAATGTGAAGTAATTGCTCAAAACCAGTGTTTCTAAAGGGATTTTATAAAGACTAATGCTAGGCCTGGCTCAGCTTTACATTTTTCTCTCTGATTTCAAAATAAATGGCTTCTAATAAATGTGCACATCACAGGGAGATTGGCTGACATGAGAGGTTGCACATAGCTGTCTCCATTACTAAGTAAGCTCGGCCATTTTTAATAAAATGTGTTTTACTGTAGATAAATATGAGATCTTATGTCTGAAAACAAAGTGAATTCTTCATATAAAGCGAGTTGTCTGTATCCTGAGAAGCGGATATTGGCAAAATGGTCTCTTGAGTACTGTGGCAGTTTACATGGACTTTCAATGCTGGATTGAGAAGACTTGGGGAGATCCTTACACAGCAGAACAGAAACAGGGAGGGAGAGTAACGTGTTGGTTTGCTTTGGATATTGTACTTAAGAGACTTTAACGGGTTATTACCTGCAGTTCTCACGCCTGATTTTTCAACAACATTTTTAAAGTACAGATAAGGTTTAGAGAAAACCCACCAAAATTGTCTTGATACTGTAAAAGTTCCTTAGGAAAAAAATTAGAGGGCATTCTGGCTTACCAGAAAGGATTGAAACGGGCTTAACTGCAGCATGCTTCCACAGGAGGAAAATGTCTGGTTCCAAAGGACTTCTGATATAGCTGAAATACCTGGAGAAAGCCACATCAACTGTGAGTTGCAGTTAGACAACTCAAAAGGGATATTAGGCAGTATTTTTGATGGTGTGTGTGAATAAGCATTAGAACAAGCTTGAAGAGAAGTGACAGGTTTCTTTTGCAATTCCAAATTGTGATGCTCTCCTGGAGAATGTACTTGGTGAAACAAAACTCACCAAGTACCATCGGGGGCAACAAGATGAAACTCTGATGGTGTAACATCAGAGAAGACAACTGACTGGGTTGTCGATTCCCTCCCTAAATTCTATTGAACTGAAAACTGACCTGTAGTTTCTTTTAAATATGCTGGTTGGGTTGTTTTTAAAAAATAATTATTTTTTTTAAAATCCTCCATCTTTAATACATCTAGATCTGTTATATAAGATTTACCCATAACAGGGTTATCTTTTGTAGTATTTTGAATTCATTGTTAGCTGAAAAGCTCCTTAAACATCTTCAGAGAGCTACTTTTTTTTTTCCTTCATCTCTTCTGTATACTGTTCCCGCTTTCTTGGAGACTCTTTGGGTCAGAGACTTTCATATGCAGCTTGAAGTTTGCCAGGTTTCTTTCTAAAATTAACTGTTACTCTCTCATAAAACATGTGTTCAAACTTTAATCGAGGGTTTTGAAGATATCCCGGTGTTACTGGCTAGCCAGTTCTAGCTAACTGTATTACAGAACTGAGCGTAAACAAAATGACATATTACAAAGTTTTGGTGTTCTGGCTGGTGTTGAGGATGATTGTTCTATATTGTCTTTTGAGGAGACTTCCACAAATGCACCCTCTGGTTTTAATCAAGCTTTTTTTAAAGCTGGGGAATACAAAAGTGAAA